CCACCATTTGGGTCACTCGCTTACAGTTGCTATGGAAATATAGCAAAACAATAATTAACTTCATGGTAAAGCAAAATATATAATTACCTGTAATAATAGCCAGAGTCATCGGCCACCGATACGTCCAGTGCGCAGAAATGGGTGGTCTGAGCGCCCATTTCGGCCGACATGAAACAAAACGGCCCCATAAAGCACGCTATGAGACCCCAGAAACCATATAGGTGTTTGTAAAGGTCGCTACGCATATTTCCCGGGTGTAGGCAGTAGGCTCGGACCCCTGTGCCCTTTAGCCGTTGGGCCAACTCCCGGGTGAATAGCACGTTGGCCAGTTTGCTCTGAAAGTAGGCCCGGTATTTGCCGTACGATTGGTCGGAGTTGATGTCCTCAAAGTTGATTTCGCCAATCATGTGAGCCATGGATGAGACGTTTATTATACGCGCGCCGTCCGGAGCGGCCATCAGTTTGTCCATTACCAGGTGGGTTAGTAGAAAGTGACCTGGGATTGAATGTAAAGTTAGCATTATTGTTTTAATCTAGTTTATAATTAGTTTGTAAATGTCTATGGTATTAAATTCTGATTACTAAATGCAAGTAAATTTATTGATTTTTAATTTATAAGTTATATGTTTAAGTGTATAGTTTAATAAAGTACTATTTTGGTAAATGTAAATGAAAATAATAATTACCAAGATGATTAATGCCAAACTGCATTTCAAAGCCCTCGTCAGTGCGCCAATTAGGGCAAAACATAACGGCCGCGTTGTTTACTAGTATATCGATGTGGTCGACCACATCGGACAGGGCTTTGGCAAACTCACGGACCGATACCAGCGATGATAAGTCCAGTTTCATGACTAGCACTTTGGCCATATCGGCTCCGGCCTCTGTACGGATATCCATGGCCGCTATGTAGGCCTTAGCCATATCGCGACAGCCCATCACTACCTGTATAACAGTTGGATAAAGTAAATGAGAGAGAGAGAGAGAGAGAGAGAGAGAGAAAGAGAGATTAAAAATACAATACTTTAGCTCCCAGTTTAGCAAATAGGGTTGCGTTAACTTTGCCGATCCCGGAGTTGGCACCTGTAATGACGACCACTTTGCCGGCCATAGTTGTGGGCAAATTGGTGTAGCGTTTGGGACCATACGGTGTAAAGATTGACAATGCGTTGCAAATGAACTCCGCAGATAATTCAAACAAGTATTTGATTAGGACAAATATACGTGATATAAATGTCATTGTATTAGTTGTTTGTGGATTGAGTTATTTATGTTGGTTAAAATCTCATAAATTTATTAAATGCCCAGTTTAGTAAATAAATATCATAATATGATAAATAAATATAACCATGTAGTATTTATGAAAAATTTTCATCACATTCAAATACTAATTTCCTAAGATGTTTTTAGTTTATTTAAAAAAATATTTTCTCAAAATATATTTCATTTGCAGTTTCTACTAAAACTAACCTTATTGATTTATTGAATTATGGTGTATTAATTTAACATATATTAAAATGACATATATTTTAATAATTCAAGAATTCAAATGAATTCTTGTTTGAATATAACTTATTATCATTGCGTGATTTAAGAAACGCACGATATGTTTATAATTTAAGTAATATTTTACCTAGAAATAAGAATTCAGGTTTAATAACTTTTTATTTAACGATTAGTTTAATTTGTTTATGCTTTAAATAA